GTTGATGTGTGCTCCCCACCTGAAAACTGCTGCTGAAAAAAACCTTTGTTCTCCTTTAAAATCTGAATTATTTAGATTTCATTTCTTTCCTCCCCCCACCCCCCCGTGGTTAATAAATATCCTGTAAAATGGGTGTTTCTCATGGTGTGGGTTTGTGCCTAAAGTCAAACCCGGGAAAAGGAGAGGGCGAACCCCCGGGTGATGGGTTCAACCCACCCCTTGTCGTCCCTCACCCTGGTCTCGGGTCTCTGGGCGGCCACGGGGGTCCCTGCTGGGCTCCCCCCTTCACCCCCCACACCGGGAAATGGCTGAAACAATCCCAGCCCAGCCCTGGGGTGTTGGGAGGGGGGGAAAGAGGAATTTTATTGCGATAATAACGATTGTCGTTTATTTAAGCAATAAATTGATGCAATAAATATCAGGATCAGGTTTCTCTGAACTTAGTCCCCGGGTTTATCGGTCGTTGGCATCTGGGGGGAGCGGTGGCACCGTCCCAGCCTGGGTTATTGTAGATTATTATTTATTTTTTTTTATCAAGAAGAAAGACTGATCACGGAGAGGGGTGATCTCGTGTGCTGAGGAACGGCTAAATTCAGGTTTTTTAAAATCTCTGCCCTGACTTTTAAGGACCCAGAGCAGGTTTCCACAAACACAGATGGAGGAAGGGGGCGGACGATGAGTGTAGAAAATAATAATATAACATGATTTCAGCGTGAGTGATGAAGGGTTTATTCCTGATGCCATCTCCAATTGCCTTGACTTCCGTAGCTTTGATAGACCTGAGCTGAGTCTTAGCAGGTTTTTATCCCGGCTTATGTAAAAAATCAGTGGAAGGGGGGGGGATTTACGATCCAGCAGGTGCCCTCCCCATAAATCAGACCTGCCAAAATACCTGCAGGGGGTGACAGGAGGGTGACAGGAGGTGACCAGGCTCTTCTGGGCAAGGCTGAGGTGGCAGCAAAGTCCCAATGCTCTTGTGTTACCGCTCCTAATTGCTGAGAGCTCTGGCTCCCGGGATTATACCTGAGAATAAATCACTGAATAATGACAAAAAGGCATTTTTCCCGGCTGTAAATCCCAGGAATTCCAGTAGTTTTGCAGCCACGTTGTTGGGATGAAAGAAACCTGGGAGTAACAAACCCATCACATGTGCTGCCACGTCCTGTTGGAGGAGCCAAGTCCACGTTTCCTTCCCCCTTCCTTAATTTTGCGGTGCTAAAATTAATCAGGATTCAGGGTTAACAATCCCCTGCCCATTGGTACAGAAAACTTTTTATCTAAATGAAGTTTATTCTTTTTTTTTTTTTTTGAAGGCATTTGGGGTGTTGTGCCAGGTTTCTGTTGGGATATGGTAGGAATTGGGCTTGGGCTTCTAATTAAAAAGCCTTTTGTGGCCGGCAAGCTCTGGGAGCCTGCACCTCCCTGTAGCTTTTGGAGGGATATTTCAAGTTTGGTTTCTCTGGCGTAAATTTGAGGAAGGTTTTCAAACTAAGCATTTCTTAAAATGCTTCCAAATGGGGTTTCTCACCCCATTGGAAGAGCAGCCATAGACCACACGTGCAGAAGAGGAGGTTGGGGCAGGGACAGGTCACACCGAGGGGCTCAGGGCAGCAAACTGGGGCTGTGTTATTTTTACAAGGTTGGTTTTTTAACTTATTGCAAGTTAGAATATTTTATTGGGAAGATCCGCAGGAGGTTTTGCGTCAGGAAGACCGCCCAGCTGGAGCACTGGGACCAGTTCTGGGCTCCCCAGTTCCAGAAGGACAGGGAACTGCTGGAGAGGGGACAGCAGAGGCTACAAAGATGATGAGGGGCCTGGAGCATCTGGAGCTGAGGGACTTGGGGCTTTTTAGTCTGGAGAAGAGAAGGCTGAGGGGGGATCTGATCAACACCTATAAATACTTGAAGGGTGGGTGTCAGGAGGATGGGGCTGGTCTTTTTTCAGTGGTGCCCAGGGACAGGACTAGAGGAAATGGGCACAAACTTGAACATAAGAAGTTCCACCTAAACACGAGGAGGAACTTCTTGACTTTGAGGGTGACAGAGCCCTGGAAGAGGCTGCCCACGGAGGGTGTGGAGTCTCCTTCTCTGGAGACGTTCAGAACCCACCTGGACAAGTGGGTTGTTTCGGTGGAATTTCTTAGACTCATGGGATTTGCTGGTCAGCCTGAGAGATTTACAGCTTTTCAACTCATTTGCGTCCCAGCAAACCCTGCTCTTGTGTTGATCCAAGCAGCACGTGATGCTCTTTATGATGCAAAACTGCCTTTATTGAAGTCCTTGGTGAGGTGACTTCAATGGGATGGGAAAAAAACAAAACCACCTTCCTCCAGGCAGATGTTCCCATCCTGGTGGCTCTTTGTTTTTCTAATGCATGTGTTGCCTGGAAAGTAAATAAATTGGTGTGAGTTTCCAGGGCTACAAAGGGAATTAACCCCCCTGCTCTGTGCTTGCCTCCTCAGCCCAACGGTGTGAGTGGAGAGAAGTGGATCTGATGGATGGAGCTTCTCCCCAACCCGCTCGGTTGGAAATTCCAAGGCCTTGAAGACTCTTCTCCCACCTCCCAGCCCAATGGTAGGACTGGGCAGGGCAACTGGGAGGAGGTTCTTATTGTGGGGACTGTTCTCCTCGACCTCTTCTGATAGATGAGAGGTGATTGGAGACAGAGAGGGGTTCTTGGCCCCTGTGGAATTAGTTTTGGGGCAAAGAAAGGCTGGTGGTGTCCATCTGGGGGGGCAAAATGTGGGAAATGGAAGCTCCTGAGCCATTTGCTCCTTCTCAGGATGAAAAGAGAGAATATGAGCACTTGGGAGACCCATTTTTCTAAATCAGGGGAAGGAATTGGTGGCCTGTGTTACTCTGGAGAGGACTCTCCTCCGTAAAACCTGGAGCTTTGAAAAGGAGCCCATTTGTTGGAGCAGATGGATGGGAGGTGTGGACGCCGCGTCCCACCACGAGTCCCTTCTTGGTGGCAAAAGAGGTGAAAACATAGCAGGGCTTGTGCTGAGAGGAGGATGGTGTGGAGACATCTCCAGGAGGTGGATCTCTCCAGGAGGTGTGGATCTCTCCAGGAGGTATGGATCTCTCCAGGAGATGGGGATCTCTCCAGGAGGTGGATCTCTCCAGGAGATGGGGATCTCTTCAGGAGATGGATCTCTCCAGGAGGTGGATCTCTCCAGGAGATGGGGATCTCTTCAGGAGATGGATCTCTCCAGGAGGTGGATCTCTCCAGGAGGATTTCTAGGAGGATCCAGCCGAGTGGCTTTATTTACAGGGAGAGGAAGAAGTTGGAGTGTGGGGATCGGTGCTAGAAATTGTGTAGGGCAGGAGCAGGGAGGAGAAGGACGTGGTGTTGCCTCTTCTCCATCCCTTCATTGCTTTGGCTGTTTGGTCTCACACTGTTAATAGCGAAAAGCACGACTGGGCTCAAATAAATACTAGAGAAATGCAGAATAAGAGGGGGGTTTGAAGCTTCTGGATTGGAAAAGCTGAAGCTGAGTGTTCCCAACAGTTCCTGTTAGGGCAGGAACCCGGCGCTGCCGGTGGTGGGTCATTTGTTCAGGAGGAGGGTGATGAACTGGAATGTTTCAAGAGGTGAAAACCCAAATTGGTGAGTGAAAGCTCCGGTCCTGCTGCGGGTGGGAGCCAAATTGTGGGGTACCTGCTCGCCCCTCATCAGCTCCCTTAAACACTTCTTAAATGGTTTTATCCTTAAACCTTGGTTGCTCAGAACATGACCCACGAGGGGTCTTCCCCCGGATACAGGTATTAACTGGTACCACTGGATCACAGAGGGGGTTTGCAGGGCTCAGGGTTGGAAAGGACAATTCCTGAAGCGCTCGCCGCCTGCGGGTTCCTGCAGGAGTCAAGAGATGCTGTGAATCAGCGTCATAAAAATTAACCCCTTTGGAGCACTGCTGTTTCCCACCTCCTGCAAACTCAAGGCTAAATATTTCCCCAGTTTAAGGCTAAATATTTCCCTGGTTTAAGGCTAAATATTTCCCTGGCCCGTTCTCTGCCCGCGGCAACGTTTTAGCTCCTTAACACCGCTGGAAACGTTCTCTAGCTTTTTATTAAATATAGCCCTCTCAATTTCGTGCTTGAAATAACCCGTTTGACAGTTTAAAGGAGTGTTTCTATAGAAGAAACAACTCTCTTGTTGGTTTAATATTCAAAAAAAAAAAAAAAAGGAAAGGAAGAATAATGCCAGTAGCTGGGATAGTTGTGTGTAAAACCCTTGTGATGTCCCAGAGGAGTGTAATAAATTGAAATATTTGGTGATAATGCAAAAAAATCATGACCTTACTAGGAGGAAGAAAGTCAAAGCAGCTGTGTTCCATCTTGCCCATCCCAATTCCATGTAGGATGCTGGTTGCACATGGGCTCTGGAACTGGGTTCACTGGATCCCAGGGAGCCTCTGGATGCTTGGGAGGGGGGGGAGAGGGGTCTGGGAGATGGGAATGGTCTTTGAGTTTGCTGTATTTGGTACTGGCTTTGATTAGAATTGGTTTCTAATTTGCAGGTCCTCTGTGCTATGGTGAATAACCCTGTGCCTGGGAGAGCGAGCAGCTACCACGCAGCCTCCTTCTCCTTGGAAAAGAGGTTTTTGTGGAAAACCATATCCATATTCTCATGGAAGTTTAATCCTTATCTCTCTGACCCTGCATCCCTCCCCGAGGCTAATTATTGGTGTCTGAACAGAATCAGGTAAAATCTGCTGCGCTTTGGCACTTGGGGGAGGTCCTTGGCTCCAGAGAGGTGAGTCAGTTTGGTTCTTGTGGTGGCTGGAGAACTGGGGGGAGAGGGGAGAAGCTCCCACTCGGATCCATGGGACCAAACACGGGGGGGATAAACCTGAGATACAGGATAAACCTGAGATACAGAAGGACAGGGCTCGGGAGCAAAGTCAAAGCGAAACTCATGTCCATCCGGGCCGTTGGCCTTATTTTTTTCCCCATCAAATAACGTTTGACACAATATATTTCTGAGATGGCTTTAATCACACGTGCAGGAGAAATATCTAACTAGCCAAACTGGGAATGCAGCATCTAAAAAAAAAAAAATCCTGTTTTTTTTTCATTTTTGCTGCATTTCGTTTCTATTCCTCGGTACAGAAGGTCTGGGGCAGCGATCGCCTTCCGCTGGGAGATGCCATCAAAGCCCATCCTTTCAAACCTCCCCGGCAGAAATGGCTTCAGCCAAACGTGGGGCCCTTGGTGGGGTTGGCTTTTTTTAGCTTCCATTTCTGGGCCCAAGGTTCAAAGAAGAAAGAAAGAGGTGAGAGGAGAGCGCAGGCTCCAGCGAAGAGGAAAGAGCAGACATATGTCTGGGTGTAGTCATAGAGCCACCCTGCAGGAGAAAAGGCTGTTATTAAAGCTGTTGGGATTTTTCACACCAAAAAAAGAAAAAAAAAAAGAAAATCAAATAGAATCATTTTGGGAGGTGGGCGGCGAGCAAACGATGTGTGTTCTCATTTAAGAATTCCTCAGATATTTGCTTTAAATTATCTTAACTCTTGGTGTGCCTGCTGCTGGCAGCCGGTGCGTGGAGAGTTGGGGCTCTTGCTGGTGGTTTAACAGGCAAAACTGTAGGTCATTCCTGGTGCTGACTTCTCCTGACCCTTGTAGTGGATGTGGGGTTTAATCTGATTAAATTTAATCCCTGCTTCTTTTTTTTTCTTTCTTTTTTTTTTTATTTTTTTTCTTTCTCTTTTTTTCTTTCCTTCTTTTTCTTTCCTTCTTTTTCTTTCCTTCTTTTTCTTTCCTTCTTTTTCTTTCCTTCTTTTTCTTTCCTTCTTTTTCTTTCCTTCTTTTTCTTTCCTTCTTTTTCTTTCCTTCTTTTTCTTTCCTTCTTTTTCTTTCCTTCTTTTTCTTTCCTTCTTTTTCTTTCCTTCTTTTTCTTTCCTTCTTTTTTTTCTTTCTCTTTTATTCTTTTTCTTTCTTTTCTCTCTTTTTTTCTCTCTTTTTTCCTCTCTTTTTTTTTTCCTCTCTTTTTTTTTTTTCTTTTTTTTTTTTTTTCTTTTTTTTTCTTTCTTTTTTTTTTCTCTTTTTTTTTTTTTCTTTTTTTTTCTTTCTTTTTTTTTTCTCTTTTTTTTTTTTTCTTTTTTTTTCTTTCTTTTTTTTTTCTCTTTTTTTTTTTTTCTTTTTTTTTCTTTCTTTTTTTTTTCTCTTTTTTTTTTTTTCTTTTTTTTTCTTTCTTTTTTTTTTCTCTTTTTTTTTTTTTCTTTTTTTTTCTTTCTTTTTTTTTTCTCTTTTTTTTTTTTTCTTTTTTTTTCTTTCTTTTTTTTTCTTGTTTTTCCCCTGTTTAAATAAACGGGCCAAAAGTAGCTGCTGGAGCAGATGGAAGATCCCGTTGGGCTCTTGAGATGACTTGCACGTGTTGGTGTTTGCAACATCTGGGCTGCAAACTCCCAGTTTCTCCAGAGAATCTTGTGAGCAGCCCCGATTTAATGCAACCTGTCTCATATGAGAGATCCCAGGAGCTTGACGGGAACTTGCTTTAAAAAGTAGCTTTGTGAGCACTTAAAAGGAAAATACAAATTCCATAAAGACTCAGGAATCTCCAAAGGAGACTTTTCAAATGACCTCAAAGTGTTTTGTTTAGTTCCAGCATGTTATCTGGTGTCTAGACGATCGTTTTAAAGGTGGATAAATTCCTCTGCTTTGAATCTAAAATATACAAAGCTGCTGCACATAATAATGATAAAAAAACCCAACCTTAATATAGTCCCAAAGCTGGCGTGGGATGGTTGGGTGTCCGGGGAGGGAGAGCAGCTGAGCCAGATCTGCTGCTGCTGGAAAATGCAATAATTCCTCCGGTCACATCCGTGGAATTCCACGATTTACACAGATTTGAGCCAAATTTGGGATTTTCCAAGCAGCTCAAGTTGGGAGGGAGATGCGTAGGGTCCCCAGAGACCCCGGTCTGGGCCCTCAAGTGGGGATGGAAACGGTGCCAGGAAAATTTGGGAATGTGAGACAACCCAGAGGTGCTGACACTTTCCTTCTGGAGATGTTCGTGGCCACAGGAGGGGTTTCTAAAGCAGAGGAACGTCCTGGGGCTGCTCTGCTCTGCCCCAGCTTCACTTTCTGCCTTTCTCAGGGGGGTTTTTGGGGTATTTTTTTTATTTTCTCAGGGATATCACGTGAGCCATGACACAGACAGAGCCTGGTGTGGGAAAGGAGGGTCCCGTGATGCTGGATGTGGGGGGCTCTGCCAGGACCCTCGTGGTTTGCAGAGCGGAATGTGAGACAACCCAGAGGTGCTGACACTTTCCTTCTGGAGATGTTCGTGGCCACAGGAGGGGTTTCTAAAGCAGAGGAACGTCCTGGGGCTGCTCTGCTCTGCCCCAGCTTCACTTTCTGCCTTTCTCAGGGGGGTTTTTGGGGTATTTTTTTTATTTTCTCAGGGATATCACGTGAGCCACGACACAGACAGAGCCTGGTGTGGGAAAGGAGGGTCCTGTGATGCTGGATGTGGGGGGCTCTGCCTGGACCCTCATGGTTTGCAGAGTGGTTTCTTCTCAAAGGTGGGATCTGGTTTTGCTGGCTGAAAGTCCTGGAGAGATTTGGGACAGGAGAAGGGATGCTCCCATAGTCGTTGGTAAGATGTAGAGGGCAGAGTGCTCCGATGGAGCTCTGATTTATTTATTTAAACTATTCTTTTTAAAATATCCTTCAGGATATTTTTAATTTTTTCTGGTTTTTCTTGGTGCTAAAAGACCAGCATTGCCTCCGTGCCGGCAGCACAGCCCACACGACACCCCAGCCTTTTAAAGGTGTCTGTGGCCCCGCTCTCCATCAAAAAAATAATTCATTCCTGCTGCAGAAAGCGGGATTAGAAGCTCCTGGAGTGTAAACTTGAGCAAAGCAGCACTTTTCTAAGCAATGCTGGTAAACCCCTGGCACCTACATGGTCCAAACTAGACATACTCCTGGTCAGACCCTTTACATTGTGCTGCCCGTCTCTAATCCCAAATTTTCTCTATTCCTGATGCCCCAAGCAACAATTCCTGGTGTGAAGATGCAGGTAAAATGTAGATGAGAGCATCTAAATGGCTGTGCCAGCACAGTTTCAAACACAGTTTCAAACAACTCCATCCTCCCCCCTTCCCAGTTTGCTGGGGCTGGTGTGTGTTGGAATCTGGTTTGTAAACTTGGATTACACGGTTTGCTCTATTTCTTTTGCAGTTGGAGTTACTGATTTGTACCGCTCATGGAAATAAAATGCACCCTCCTCTCCTCAGCTCGCTCGCAGCTTTGCTAAAATAATGTTTGTTCTGGGTTTTTTTTTGGTTTTTCCAGCATGGCAGAGGCATCCCACGGTGCTGGAGGATGAAGAGCGATGAAGGAACCATCAGACTTTTCACCCTGGGCTTCCAGGGGGGCGTCTGCCTCTGGGTTTAAAGAGCTTTCCAGGTAAGTCACCTTTTTTGGTGCGTTTTGATGAGGCTTTGTTCTAGTACACAGAATAAGCTGGGTTTTAACCTTTGCGGTTCTCGCCTGGGCTTCCAGGGGGGCGTCTGCCTCTGGATTTAAAGAGTTTTCCAGGTAAGTCACCTTTTTGGTGCGTTTTTAGGCTTCGTTCTAGTACACAGAATATTCTGGTTTTTAACCTTTGCGCCTCGGGTTTCGCTGCATTAAAAATGCTTGAGTTTTTTAAAATTATTCTTCCCTTACTCAAAAGTGAAGGTGGAGGGAGGTCAGCAGTGGTCAGAGGCACCCAACTCCAGGGTATCACCTGGCATTTCAGCCTTGTTCTGTGAGGAGAGGATGCTTTTCGGCCACTAAATCAGTAGCTTCTGGGCAGATTCAGTTTTTCACGCTTAACACGGCTGTATAGAAGAGAAAATTGCAGAATTTGTCTTGGGTGGCAAACCTCAATCCTCAGCTCTGACTTCTTTGCTCTGCCTACGGTGACACGGATCAGCGAAGGTTTTGCTGCTTGGCTTGATTTGCCCTTTATTTATCCCACCGGTATTAAGAAGAGTGATTCCTGTGAAAGGCTTTATTTATTATTTTTTTTTCGGCAGGAATCCTGCTTGCTTTACAAAATCCGGCGGGTGCTTTCAGAAAACCAAAAAAGGGCTCATTAGGGAAAATATATTGGAAGGGGATGAAAGCGTAAGCGCTGCCTGAGCACGTATGATGCATGGATAAGAGAGCACCCCATTATTTAGCCGTTTTCACGCTCGACGTTCCTGCGTCGGGGAATTTACTGCGGTGGTTGGGTTGCTCAGGGATTGCTTTTTGGGTTGGACATTCATCTTGTATCAGCAGAAGAGATTTTGAGCCGATAGAGGCCGTGGATCACCGTGAAGGACGCTGCCAACGCAACGCTTTAACTGCTCGAAATTGCATCCCTAGACAGAGTTTTGCCAACCTGGAAATATTGAGGAGGAAAATCGATTTTTTTTTGTTGGTTGTTTTTTTCACAGCGGCGTCGCTAAAACTTTGCAGCGTGGAGCTGGTGTTTAACAAATCCTTGGCAGCCTCCAGCAGAACCGCATCCGCAGGCGTGGGGTGGCTGATAGCAATAAATGAAGAACAAGTTTATAGAATCCCAGAATGGTCGGTAGGGACCTCCTGGAGGGTCTCCAGAAGGGACCTCTGGAGATCATCCAGTCCAACTTCCTCCAAAGATGGGTCACCCAGAGCAGGTCCCCCAGGAACGTGTCCAGGTGGGGTTTGAATGTCTCCAGAGAAGGAGACTCCATCACCTCCCTGGGCAGCCTCTTCCAGGGCTCTGCCACCCTCACAGGAAAGAAGTTCCTCCTCATGTTTAGATGGAACTTCTCATGTTCAAGTTTGTGCCCATTTTCTCTTGTCCTGTCCCTGGGCACCACTGAGAAGAGCCTGGCCCCATCCTCTTGCCCCCTGCCCTTTAGCTATTGCTCAGCATCCATGAGATCCCCTCTCAGGCTGCTCTTCTCCAGCTGAACAGCCCCAGGTCCCTCAGCAGAGAGATGCTCCAGCCCCTGAGCATCTTCATAGCCTCCACTGGACTCTCTCCAGCAGTTCCCTCTCCTTCTGGAACTGGGGGGCTCAGAACTGGTCCCAGTGCTCCAGATGGGGCCTCCCCAGGGCAGAGCAGAGGGGCAGGATGACCTCCCTCCACCTGCTGCCCACGCTTTTTTTAGCGTTGCCAAATTTTTTCCCATCTTCAGAACACATTTGCTCACCCTGATATTGGACCTTGAAGCCTTTTTCTAGTTTGTTTGCATCAGGAGGATCAGGCCCCTCATCATCTTTGTAGCCTCCACTGGACTCTCTCCAGCAGTTCACTGTCCTTCTGGAACTGGGGAGCCCAGAACTGGTCCCAGTGCTCCAGCTGGGGCCCCCCCAGGGCAGAGCAGAGGAGGAGGATTACCTCCCTCCACCTGCTGCCCACGCTTTTTTTAGCGTTTTTTCCATCTTCAGAACACATTTGCTCAGTGGGGGACGGGATGTCACTCACCCTGATGTTGGACCTTGCAGCCTTTTTCTAGTTTTTTTGCATCAGGAGGACCCAGGAAGAAGCTCAGGGCCTGGTTCCAGCCATGAGGTCTGGCTCAAGGGTCATCAAGGCAAGTAAGAGCTTTGGTCTGGCCAAGATGTTTGGAGGAGAACAAGCTCCTCACTCGTAAGCAGAGACTGGAGACTCGCTTCTAAGCACTCAAAATCTGTCAGATCCTCAAAACCACCTTGGTTTTCTGGCAGTGGGAGAAGAGGGAATGTTTTTCCATCCTCCTTATCTTTGGGTCCAGGAGCTCTTGTGGCTGAACTGTGTAATCTTCTTCAAAACAAGAGATTACTGGGAGCGTGTGGGTGCCTCTGCTCGGTGGGACTTCTGCTGAGCCTGTCCTTGTTTTACCTTCCTCTCCCACCTCCCTTCCAGTCCCTCTTTGCCCAGTTCAGGGCTACAAAGCCCAGTTGGGGGTAAACCCCCCGCTAATGTGCTCGTTACTCTTAATTGCTGTGGTCTAAAATATTGTGCCTGGAGTTCAGCCTCCTTTTCCCCAAAACTGCTGCTTGGGTTTTGCAAATTCCCGATTTCTGAAATATATTTTGGAGTTGGTTTTTTTAGCCCCCGACTTGGAACAGAAAAGCCCTCCTTGTTTTGAATGGATGAATTTGGGCAGGAGAGCGACTCAGGAGCGTTTTTTATCCCCGTGTGTCTGTGGTGGGTGTAAATTATACCCAAAAATCAGAGTTACCTGCCAGAGGGGGTCCGCCGACGGCTGCTATCCCAGCAAAGAAGGCAGCGAACCCCAAGTAGCTGTGGAGATTTTGAACTCCCACCAGATCTACCTGTTGATAAAACAAAATGGATAATTATTGATTGAACTCAGGTGATGAACGCGCAAGCACGGGAGATATTTTTATTTTATTTTATTTTATTTTATTTTATTTATTTTATTTTTTTCCTGGGGACTTTCCTCTTCAGCTGGGGTTTTGCCAAGGACTTTGCACCTCTAGGTCTGATCCAGCCCGGAATCTGCTCGCCTCCTTAAGGCCAGCGTGGAAATTACTGGGATGAGAGATGTTTTCCTGCCTCCCAGCTGCTTGGCCACCTCCCCAAACCAGGAACGCTGCTACAGCTTTGAGGAAGGTGTTTTAAACTCTTCCTTCCCAGAAAGAAATGGCAAATTATAATGATGCCTCAATACCCGGATCCAGCTCTAACTGGTCTGTGATTTTTCAGAAATAATTCTGGGACTGGGAGCTGATACACACAACCCTCTCTGTCTTGGCAAAAGTGAGATGGGGAGCGGGATGAAGGCTTTAATTTCCTGTGGGCTGGAGTAGTCACCTTTAGAAAGGAGAGTGTGGAAGGCAATTAGTAGAGCCAGGTCATTAAAAATCTGCTGTGAATTAATTCCCAGTGCTTGTGTGGCATTGGGGCTGTGAATACCAGAAAGGGGGTTGGAGAGGAGGTTTGGGGCTCTCCAGTGACTCGGATTTGGAAGGCTGGAAGGGAGGGAATGGAATTCCCATGGAATTATAGAATGGGTTGGGTTGGAAGGGACCTTGAAGATCATCGAGTTCCAACCCCCCTGCCCTGGGCAGGGACACCTCCCACCAGACCACGTTGCTCCAAGCCCCCTCCAACCTGCCCTTGAACCCCTCCAGGGATGGGGCAGCCACAGCTTCTCTGGGCAACCTGGGCCAGGCTCTCACCACCCTCACAACCAAGAAGTTCTTCCCCACATCTCAGCTCCATCTCCCCTCTTTCAGTGTCAAACCCTTCCCCCTCCTCCTAGGGCTCCCCTCCCTCATCCAGAGTCCCTCCCCATCTCTCCTGGAGCCCCTTGAGGGACTGGAAGGGGTTCCAAGGTCTCCCTGGAGCCTTCTCTGCTCCAGGCTGAACCCCCCCAACCCTCTCACGCAGGTCTACAGCAGCCCAGGGTAACTCAGATTTCTGAGAGGGTTTTCGGATAATTTTGGGATACTGTTGGAAATGCCCCATATTAATTTTTTTTTTTTTTTTTTTTTTAAATGAAATATCCTACTCACCAGCACAGGGAGGACCAGAGCCATGAACCCACCGCAGAAAACAGCGAAGGCCACGGCGTAGGTCATGAGTAAGGGGAAGGTGGTGGCCAGAGGACAGAGCAGGTTGGTGACACCGCCCAGGACAAGGTAAGCCACGTGGTAGTGATACTTTTTGGTCCAGTTCTGGTCGGCGACCCAGCCCGAGAGCAGCTGGCTGACTGTCTCCGTGATGCCTGGGGGAGAGAGGAGTTCACCAGAGCATCAAAAAAGACTTTATTTTATTTATTTTTTGCTATTTTGCACTGATTTGGTCGGAAATGCATCCCGGTTCTACCTCCCACTCACTGGAAGAACCAACCACAAAGAGCTGAAATGCCGGGAAGTTACAGGAAGGCATTTTTAGGCTGTTATAAAATTCATTCTTTTATTTTTTTTTTCCTTTACCTTGGTGCCTTCTGTTGCCAAGTGCCTGTGGATGCACCTCAGTGGTCTGTAAAAACTAAAAAATTCAAAAGGGCTGTGCGTTCAGCAGAAAACCTCTCAAGTGCCCTTCAGTAAAAATTGGGAAGAGAAGGTTGCTGTTCGATCCCTTTTTCAAGAGAGAGGAAAAAGCAGAATATTGAGAAATACACTCGTGAGATGGTAATTTTTATAAAGAAGCGAAGGAGGACAGAAGACCAGCATTTTTTTTAAAGGCTCAGAAATTTTTAATACTTGGATTTTGCATTTTCCCACTATGTTTTGTATGAACTAAAGACCAGAGGAGAGCTCACTGTCAGCCAGGATCGAGCGAAGGAGGACAGAAGACCAGCATTTTTTTTAAAGGCTCAGAAATTTTTAATACTTGGATTTTGCATTTTCCCACTATGTTTTGTATGAACTAAAGACCAGAGGAGCGCTCACTGTCAGCCAAATCTTGCTGACCACTGTGTCCCTCCTACTCTTAATTCAAATTGTCAGATTAATCTCTTCCTTCTCCTTCTGGATCCCTTGAGGTCCTTCATCATTGCTAAATATTATACAGTGGTGTGGAAGTAAAGTTTATTTTTGTACAATAAAATATTTTATCATGACTGAGGTCGCAGACACTTTCTTAACCCAACGCTACTTAATCCCTGCTTTATAACGGGGCACGTTGGCTTTTTGGGGAATTATTTTGGCTTTTTTTTTTTTCCCTTGGAGGTGAATGTGCCCAATCAAAATGGCCAGATCAAGATTCAGATCAAATTAAGGTGGATTCTTTTTCCACCAGGATTGTTTTGGGGTTTTTTTCCTTTTCTGCACACATTCCTGAGTCAAACAGGAGGTCTTGGAATGCCAAGAAACTGGATTCTTTGGCTTTTGGCTTTGAGCTGAGTGGGGGCCGTGGTGGGAAGGCTTTAGGAGGACAGAGAGCACCCATGTCATTGGGAACTGGGGTTTGTTGGGCGCAGAGAGGCTGGGGAATCATCTACCTTCAGCTGAGAGAACCACCCACCACCTGAGAGCAGCTTTTACACCTACAGAAGGCGTCGCTGTATGTACAGGAGGAGGGTGAGGGCTTTGAGCTACACCTCTCCCATGAAGATTTATCGTAGGAGATACTGGGGACTATTTCTTGGCAAGATTTGCGGTGGTTTTCCTCCCTGTTTTGGTATCGTTGTCATTATAAATAGGTTTAAAAGCTTCTTTTGCCTACCAGCCACTGCGATGAGGTAGGAGGCATCCATGCTGCTGATGCCCAACGTCCTGGCTCTTGCCACCAGGTGGAACATGGGCACGAAATAGGCCAAGTGGCTGAACAAGAAGGACCAGGTGAAAATGCCGAAGACGGGATCCTTCAGCGGGGAGAAGTCGAGGAGAGGCTGTGGGGTTTCCTTCTCGGTCGGTGGAAGGGATTTGTGGCTTCTCTTGGCCTCAACGGCTGTTTCTGGTGAGCAGCTCTCCACGGGGGGTTTCTCAAACCCTTCCAAATCCAGTGGATTTACTGGAGCAGACACATCTCTGCCGTGGGGAATCGTGACTCCCTCCGTGGTGGGAAGGTCCTGTGCACCACGGAGCTGTATTTCCCTCTGAGTAGCTCCATCCAAGCATCCACCAGGTGGTTCTGAGTCCTCCTTTGCCATCAAAGACCCATGTTCTTGATTTTCCACAGAGGAACGTCGGGGTGGCCGGGGGCTGTCGGGTCGCAGGAGCATGCTGGAAGGCACGAGGTTTAACATGATGCCTCCAAAAATCAGCAGAGTACCTGAGGGAAGAGAGAAAATGCTTTTTTTTTTCTTGGCCTAGGAGAAGAAGAGCTGTAGGAAATGATCTTTCTAGAATGGGGTGTAGTTTGTACTGAATGTGGAGAAAGCTCTGGTGTAAGGAAGAGGTCTCTTACAGGAGCTTTTATTCCTGGTTTTCCAGCTGGAAATTCTTTTTGGTGTGATGCAGGCAACAAATCCCGAGCTACCTTTGGGATCTGGGAGTTTGTTTTATTTTCCCTCCTTAGGAATCCGTTTCACGTCATGGCCCTTCAAGGTGGCCTTGGACCAGTGTGGTAAAAGTAGGGATTTTTCGGTTTTGGTTTTGGTTTCTGAGGGCTCTGTTTTGATGCTGACTTCACTTCAATGACTGATGAAGTGTTTAATCATTAACAAGATGTCCCCAAACTCTCCTAAAAAGAGAGAGGGTTGTTCCTGGGTGCGTCCAATTTTTAATTTTTCAAAAAGACCCTCTTTGCCCTGCCTGGAGATCCTCGAACACCCTCTTAACGCTGATGAATCTAAGATGCTCTCACCTTGCCAACCGTAAAAATCGAGGAGGAGCTGAGTGAAGGGGGCGATGAGGAAGGTCAGCCCCATCCCGGAGCGGGCGATGGCGTTGGAGAAGGCCAACCGTGTCCTGCAACGCTTGGCCGTCATCACCGCCGCCGCCTGGTACAGGCAGGCGAACCCCAAACCTACAACAAGGGCAGAAATAAGATATCCAGCCCCCCCAAAAAGTGACTTGCTTCATATCATGAGCCTTAGAGGTTCAAAGTCAAGCCGTCCCAAGCTCGTTGTCCCCCATAGAAGAGCTGCTTTGCAGGGTTTGAGGGTTGAAAGTGAGGGATTTTGCTGTAGCAGTTAGTGGAGAATAAGATTCCGTGCGTGGTATTTAGCACCAGGGGGGGTTGAGACCCTGCACTTTGAGTAAGGGATTTTAAAAGGCCAGGATTCGTGTTGGGTCCAGAAAAAAAAAAGCAAAGTTTCTTGGGTCTAGCATGTGGAAACTGGTATTTTATGCTCCTGAGCGTATGAAGCTTGAGGGTTTCACACAACATAGAATCATGGAATTGTTTGGGTTGGAAGGGACCTTAAAGATCATCAAGTTCCAACCCCCCCTGCCCTGGGCAGGGACACCTCCCACCAGCCCAGGTTGCTCCAAGCCCCCTCCAACCTGCCCTTGAACCCCTCCAGGGATGGGGCAGCCACAGCTTCTCTGGGCAACCTGGGCCAGGCTCTCACCACCCTCACACCAAAGAAGTTCTTCCCCACATCTCAGCTCCATCTCCCCTCTTTCAGGGTCAAACCCTTCCCCCTCCTCCTGTGGCTCCCCTCCCTGATCCAGAGTCCCTCCCCAGCTTTCCTGGAGCCCCTTGAGGGACTGGAAGGGGCTCCAAGGTCTCCCCAGA